CGTGCTAGTCTTCCCGGGAGAGGGCTTGCAGGAGGGGCCCAGCTGGCTCTGCTCAGCAGTTCCCTGGCACCAGCTGCCCCCTCCTAGGGCTGGTGGCAGGAGAGTGTGAGGGCCGAGCTGAGGGGATCGGTGCCTCCACGTTGCCCTAGGCTGTCGGGGGGAGGCCCTGAGTGGAGGATGCTGGCACTGCCCTGCCTGGGAAATGCAGTGCAACCTGTCATGAGCTGGGGAGTTGATGGTGGCCAGGAGGGGCAGGTGGCAGAGAGTCCAGGGGATGGCACCGGACTTGAGCAGGGAGGCTAGGAACTTGGATGTGGCACATTTCCAGAATGCTTAGAACTCTGCCTCTGGTGTTCCCTTCCTTCTCCCTCTTCTCCACCTCTGTTGGGCTTTGAAAATTTCCTTGATCAGCCTTCTCTTGTTTCTTCCTTTTCCCGCCTTTCCCTCCCCTCCGCTAGGCCCAGCCAGGCCCTCTGACCTCTGTCCCCTGCCAGCGTCTCCTGGCCTTGGGCCAGCTGGCCTCTCACCCTTAGCCCACTGCAGCCCCAGCACCCAGGGAATCTCTGGCAGTCCCTGGAAGCACCTCTTCACTCTTTCTCCCGTGCCCTGGGCACAGCCATACTGAGGGCCCTGGGGCAGGTTAGGACTCAAGACCCTGTGACCATCGACCCTGGGCCCTGAATCAACATGGCCACACCCCAGCCTCACTTTTTCTGAGCAGGAAAGACAGGTGGGCTTGAGAACACCAAGGAGGAAACTTGCCTAGAAAATTGGTGAGGTGCTTCAGCTTGTCACCAGAGCCCTCAGGCCCCCATCTGTGCCCTTTGCCTGGCCCAGTCATTTTCCTAGCACCTCTGCTCTCTCCCTTCTTCCCCTCTAAAGAATTTGCTTTCAGGATAGGAGCAAGCGTCATTTATATCACAGAGTGAATGATTTCAACTTTCTGTGTTCCTGCTCTCCTGTGGTTTCTTGCCTCCAGAGAGGGTTTGGAGGTTCTGGTAGGAGAGGTCCCAGAGGTCGCCTGGGCACCTGAACTCTCATGACAGAGGTGGTCGATTATTCCCCCAGTCAGCAGGGTATGGGAAGGCACGATCGGGTCTCTAGTCTCGGGCCAGCAGGAAAGGAGGTTGTGGGGCTTTTAAGAGTAAGTCAACAAATAAAACACTTTTCTGCTTAAGTCTCAATCCATTGAAAAATAGACACAAGACGGATGGGAATAAAAACGTCAGCTTTATTACTGCTAAGACCTTGTCAGAGAACGTGGCTTATTTGGGAGACAAAATGGGCTTGCTAACGCCCCCTTGAATCACACGGATCCGCCCTCACTGGCACAGGTGTGAACCCGGCCCCCTGGCAACGCAGGGACAGGCAGAGCACCCACATCCCGTGGATGGGCTGGCTCCCAAAGAGGAGAGAGGACCAAGCCACACGTGCTCCGTAAGTCACGTTTCCTCTTCCCCAGGTAGAGACGGGCCAGGACCATTATTAATAGAAGTTCCTTTCCCAGGGAAACAGGAGGAGGGAATAAATGTTCCTCCCCCACAGAGAAGATCTCCACCCTCTTCTGAGAATTCTTCCTCAGCATGACTGAGCGGGGCCTCAGGGGGAAGGGGGCTGTGTGAGAGAGAGACAGAGAGAGAAAGTACATGGATGAACTCTCCTGGATTCCCTTACTGCCCCCCAGCCAGGCCGGGCCCACCCACTTCCTGTTTCCTGCCACCCCTTCTCCACTCTCTCTCCCACCCAGAGCACCCCTGCTACTCCTCTACCCGGACTTTTCCCGTTTGTCTGCCTCCTGTGGGTGTGAGGCAGGAAGTGTCCATTTCCCTCCAGTATCCCTCATTCCCTTACCTGGAATTAACCCTGACTTTTAGCGAGGCACAAGGCTACATTTTCCAGCCTCCCTCGCTGCTAGGCGTGGCGGTGTGATTAAGTTTTGGCCAAGGAGGTGTAATCAGAAGTGGTGCGTGAGACTTCTCGGAATTGCACCTGTAGGGAGATGGTATACCCTCTTCGTCTCTTCGTTCCTGCTGGCTGGAATGTGAACATGCCAGAGCTTGAGCAGCCGTCTTGGACCGTGAAGTGGAAGCTGTGCAGTGAAGACGGCGAAGGAGCAAAACAGGAGCCTGGGCTCCTAGTAAGTTTGCGCGGCCACGTTACCGTGCCTGCAGTGTTCTCTCCCAGCTTCACGTGAGGGAAACGAATTTCTTTCTTATTTAAGCCATTGCTCTTCGGAGGTTTCTGTTACTTGCAGCCGAACCCAATCCTAATACAAAGCGCTTGCATGGGTGTTAGCCGGTTTACACACATGCCTACATGCACACACGTGTAAGCTAGTTTATTGGGAAAGTAGAAGAATGGATATCCATTCCTTTGCCAACTCGTGTGCAAGGCACCAGGACCTGAGAGGGAGACAGAGGTGAATCAGGGAGACCTTGCCCTCAAGTAGGTTAGAGTCTGGGACATTGAGCTCATACACATGTGAGGCTCAATCAGGTTGGAACTTCCCAGGATGCACCTTCTGTTCTGTTATCATTTCCTGAAAAGAACCAGCTCATCTCTGATTCCAGGGAGGGCTGCTGTTTCATGGAGTTCAGTCCACAATTGAGGAAAACTGAAAGCAAGGCCTGCCCAGGAGTAAAATATGGAGTACCTGAGATAAGGAGGGGCCACAGTATCAGTATCAGGACATCAGTTGAACAGAACGGGTCACATAGGTGTGGTTGGGGGACTGGAGTGGAGAGAGCTGAGGCAGCAGCTGTTCCAGGGTGGGGAAGCTCAGTCTCCAGAATGTAACTGGTCCAGCACTTGCTCAGACACACTCTGGCTCCTGGAGCAGCTTCTCCACGTGGGCCAGCAGCATCAACATCACGTGAGAATGGATTGCGTATGCAAATCCAAACTCTGAGAAGGGGTCCCACCATGCTGTGGTTTTACCAGCCCTTCAGGTGATGCTGATGCATGCTAAAGTTAGAGAATTCTTACCCTTCCATCCGAGATAGGAAGGTGGGAAAATTCAGCACACAGGAGGGGAAAAATTCCAAATAGAATGTACTCCGAGGATTGAAGCCCCCTCCGGGACAAAAACTAATGTAAAAAATCAACACGAACAAACCTCATGAGTAATGTGACTGAAGACCAGGTAGACCCTCCTAATTAACACGCACAGTCCACTTGTACAAGGACAGAGGGTACAAAACAATATAGATAAAGTCAGATGTGTTGGTGTAATGGCTTGGGAAGCTTCCAAATGCAGTGGACGTGAACAGAGCAAATACTCTGAACCTGAATATAAAAGAACATCTTAACCTGATTGTGGAATAACATGACTGGGAAACAAAATAAAGACACGTTAAGTAACAGAAGGGTGGGGTCTGCCTAAAATGTAAACCACAGAGCCTGAGTTTATTAGTGTTTATTCGGCACTGCCCAAGGGTGGCAGAGTACGTGCTTAGCTCAGATGGCAGGGTGGGAGCACACTTAGAACAGTACTGGGTAGACGTGAGTACCCTTGTTCCTGGAGGTGTGAACTCTTTAACAGAGCAAGGCTTAGCCATTAGATTTCTTCTTAGAGGACGGTTTTTACCCTTTTTGGCTTAAGAATCCAGATAAGCTAGTAAAGATGTATCAATATCTGCACACACAGATACACAGAGTATTTGATACAATAATCAGGTTGGAACCTCACAGAATGCACCTTCCGTCATCTTTCCTGAAAACAACAAAAACCCAGCTTGTTTCTGGTTCCTGCCAGGGAAGCCTGCTTTTTTATGGCATTCAGTTCACAGTGGAGGAAGACAGAAAGCAAGGCAGACCCAGGTGGGGAACACACCTGACACAGGCTGAGAACCCCTGAGGATGAAACAGCATTGAGGATGACACGGTCCTCATCACCTGTGTATGAGTTATCGTTTGCTGTGTAACAAATTACCCCAGAATTTAATGGCTTAAAACAACAAACATTCATTATCTCAATTTCCGAGGGTTAGGAACTCAGGAGTGACTTAGCTGGTGGTTCTGTGTGAGGGTCGTTCACGAGGTTTTTGGTCAAGGTGTCTGCCAGGAACGGGGGATCCGCCTCCTAGAGGAAGGGGCATCCTGCACATTGCAAGCGGTGGGAAATGAGACTTCTTCCTGCCGCAGAATCTCCCCTTCACGACCAGGGACGGCCAGACCCAGCTCTGCTCAGAGGCTCCAAGGAAGTACTCTGCATCTCCTTGACTCTCAATTACCAAAGCCCATGCTTTCCTCATTCATCTCTGTATCTACCCCTGGAGCTGGCACCGTGCCCAGCACTAGCTGGGTTCATTAGGCGTTTGCTAAATTAGTTATCTGACCCTCTCTCGGGAGTTATTTTCTACCTTGTATTACAGTCCTGCCTCAGCCTCCCTTCAAAGTGTGAGTTTGGGGGGATTATTCACGTCTATAGTCTCTGCAGGCGTTAGCACAGAGCCCGGAGGAAGGAGAGGTTCAGCGGCTGTTTACTGAAAGAATAAAATAATGGCGCCCGACGCACATTCCTTGATTGACTGGGGCTCAGTAGACTTGAACATTAAAAGAAAGGTCTGCTTCCCCAAGCTCGCCTTGAAACCAAGGTTAAGCTCCCGCCACATAGCCCCGTAGCCCCGCACCCCAATGTCACCGAGGTTGAAAGAGCTGGGACTTCCACCTGACACACACGTTCCTGGAACAAGCAGGTACGCAGAGGTAGTAGGGTGGTGCACCTGGGCCATGCCGACCGTGCACAGCGGCCTGCTCACCCCAAGTCTCTGCCTGCAAAGCGGCAGGACCTTGCCGCTCTTGGCTGCAACAGAGCCCCTCCGGCCCGCGGCCCAGCGCCCCGGCCGCCCTGCGGGCTCCGCGTGCCACGGCTCAGGTACCACGTGTCCACACCCAGCGCCGAGATGCGGGACTACAACTTCCGAGATGCCGCGCGCCCGGCCGCTTATTGGCTGCACGGCGGGGGGCGGGAGCACGGGCCGGCCGGCGCAGTCTGCGCGTGCGCGCGGCGGGCGGCCGGCCGGATGGCGGCACTCGGCAGGGTGGCGGCGCTGTGTGCGGCGCGCGGGCTCTGGTGGAGGGCCGCGTGCGCGGCTGCGGGGCTACGGGGCCTTTGCCCGCAGAGGGGCTACGCTGTGGGCCCCGCTCAGGTGAGAACGCCCGGGCTCTGGCAGAGCGGTGCTCAGGACAGGCGGCGGGGCCAGGAGACGCGGAGAGGGAGGGCGGCCGGCCGGGACGCCGCGGCATCCTCCGGCCTCCCGGGAAACGGCCTTGACTAGGCATCTGACCTCAAGTGCACTTCGTTCTTGCCTGGAGGCCCAGTGTCCCCGGCCTCCCCCTGACTATCGTGCAATTCGCAGTGCCGTCGGCCTGGAAGAAAAGTGACTCCGCTGGAGAGCGACCAAAACAAGCCCAGAAAACGCTCGTCAGGACGGTTTCTTGGTCCCTTGCTGCTTTTCAACCCCAAAGTTGCTCAGCAGTTTCCTTGTTCCTCTTATATTTTTACTGCTCTTCCTTTTTAATTTTCACAGTGGTAGCATTTTGGTTATGATTTTCAACTACATTTGAAAGAGATTTGAGGTCTCGCGATGGACCCCCTCCGGGAGCCGTTCCTGTAGGTGGACACTCCAGAAGTGAATTTGGGTTTGGTGTGGCCTTGCTTGAGTGTAGCGGAGGATCTGTGGGGCAAGAGGAGGAGAACTGGAGTAGGGTCCTTAATCTGTGCAAGGCGCTGTAGTGATATATAAAGCTCTCAGAACTTTGGAAGAAGGTATGACCTTGGTGTTAGTAAGGAAGCCAAGGCTTGGAGTCGTTTCTTTTTTTTTTTTTTCTTTCTTTCTTTCTCGCTCTCTTTCCTTCTTTCTTTACTTTCTTCCTTTCTTTCCCTCCCTTCCTTCCATCCTTCTGTCCTTCCTTCCCTATTTCTTTATTTCTTTCAACGGTCTTGCTCTGTCGCCCAGGCTGGAGGGCAGTGAACTCATCACAGTTCAATGCAACCTCGAACTCCTGGGCTCAAGCGATCCTTCTGCCTCAGCCTTCCGAGTAGCTGTGACAACAGGCACACACCACCACGCCCAGCTAATTTTTTCTATTTTTGGTAGAGACTGGGTCTCACTCTTGCTCAGGCTGGTCTCAAACTCCTGGCCTCAAAGCAATTTATAACTATTATATTGGTTCTTATGTCTTTACAGGTCCTGAGATACCTCCAAGTGACTTCTCAGAGTAGAAAAGGGAAGAAAGGGATGTAACATAGTATAGAGATTAAGAGTACTAGCTCTGGTGGGGCGCGGTGGCTCACACCTGTAATCCTAGCACTCTGGGAGGCCGAGGCAGGAGGATCACTCGAGCTCAGGAGTTTGAAACCAGCCTGAGCAGGAGCAAGACCCCGTCTCTATTAAAACTAGAAAAAATCAGCTGGGCATGGTGGCGCATGCCTGTAGTCCCAGCTACTCAGGAGGCTGAGGCAGAAGGATTGCTTGAGCCCAGGAATTGGAGGTTGCAGTGAGTTATGATTATGCCACGGCACTCTACCCAGGGCGACAGACCAAAACTCTGTCTCAAAAAAAAAAAGAAAAAGAGTACTAGCTTTAGAATTGAATCCTGGCTGCACCCTTCATGAGCTTTTTGACTTAAGGCAGATTACTTAGCTTTCTGAGATTCAGTTTCCCCATCTAAATGGGATATGCACGCATGCAGTATTTTTGTCAGAATAAATAAGATGATGTATGTGGAGTACTTTGCATAGTGACTGGCATGTAGCAAGTTCTCTCAAATGTGGAAGTAGTTGTAGTAGATAGTGAAGTGGATGAGAGTTATAATGATTGTTACTGTCTGGAAAACATACCAAACCAATTCTAGTTAAGAAGCAAAAACACAAAGGAATATCTTAGTGGTCCCTTCATTTCAAACTCATGTTAAAATTCCACATATTTTATCACTGCCACAAAAATGAACTTTAGAGCAGCGGTCCCCCACCATTTTGGCACCAGAGACCAGTTTCATGAAAGACAGTTTTTCCGTGGACAGGAGTGGAGGGTGGGGAGTCGGGAGCGCAGTGAAGCTCTGCAGCCAGGTCCCTAACAGGGCACGGCCCCCTACTGCTCTGCGGCCCAGAGGCTTGGGGACTGCAGAATTAAAGGATCTGGTGTAATATTCAGGACTAGTTGGAAAAAAAAAAAGTGATGCAGAAGAAAAGTTAAACTAGAGATACAGATGATGATAAAAAGAAAGGCAAAAATCTCTTTTTTTCTAGGCACCTTCACTTAAATTAGTAGACTTTACTTTTCAGAGAAGTTTTAGGTTTACAGAAAAATTAAGCAGAGAGTACAAAGAGTTCCCACACACATCCCCCACGCCCACAGTTTCCCTTATTACAGTTGTGTCCCTTATGATGGTAATACGTCCTGTGAAATACATCGTCCTGCAAACATCACAGAGTATACTTCCACAAACTGTATGGTACAGCCTGCTGCTCGTGGGCTACAAACCCACACAGCATGTTCCTGTACTGAGTACTGTAGGGAATTGGAATCAATGGTACGCGTTTGTGTATCTAAGAAGCATATCTAAACAAAAGGTACAGAAAAATATAGTATGAAAGATGCAACATGGTACATGTTTAGGGCACTTCCCATAAATGGAGCTTGTAGGCCTGGAAGTTGCTGTGGCTGAGTGGGTGCGTGGTGAGTGAGTGTGAAGGCCGGGACACTAGTGTGCGGTACTGTAGACTTTATACACCGCACATTCAGGCTGCACTAAATTTATAAAAGATATTTTTCTTCATTAATTAACATTAGCTTACTGTAACTTTATAAACTTTTTAATTTTTTAACTTTTTGACTCTTTTGTAATGACACTTATCTTAAAACACAGTGTATAGCTGTATAAAATTTTTTTTTTTTTTTTGAGACAGGTTCTTGCTCCATTACCCAGGGCTAGAATACAGTGGCATCATGATAGCTCACAGCAACCTCAAACTCCTGGGCTCAAGCCATCCTCCTGCCTCAGTCTCTGGAGTAGCTGGCACTACAGGCGTGTGCCACCACGCCCAGCTAGTTTTTCTATTTTTTTTTTGTAGAGATGGGGTCTGGCTCAGGCTGGTCTTGAACTCCTGGCCTCAAGCAATCCTCCTAACTAGGCCTCTGAAAATTCTAGGATTACAGGTATGAGCCACTGTGCCCAGCAAAATACCAAAATATTTTCCTTTTTTTTTATTTTATTTTTTTGTTTTAGCCAAGCATGAAAATGAGGTTTATTGAGGAGAGAAAGATAGGATTATAGGGCAAGAACAAGACACAGGTTTACAGAGCATGGTACATACCCCACAGATGATGACCAGACCCCTTGTCTCAGCAGAGCAAGCAAAAGGCAGGGCAAAGAGAGAGAGCAAAAATATTTTTCTTATCCCATACACTTTTTTGAAGAGTAAGAATTAGATTTATTTTTTAAACTCTTTTGTTGAAAACTAAGACATAAGCACACACATTAGTCTAGGCCTACACAGGATCAGGGTCACTGTCTTCCGCCTCCACACACTGTCCCCCTGGAAGGTCTTCAGTAATAATAACATGCGTGGAGCGGCCATCTCATATGACAACGCCTTCTTCTGGAAGAGCCCCTGAAAGACCTGCCCAAGACTCTTGAGGAGGCATCATCACTCTTTTCAGAAATTTGTCCATCGTGGTTTCTGGTTTTTTTTTTTTTTTTTTTGGTCCTAGATTTGCTTGTGAGCAGGTAATGCACCATGAACATTCCTCTCTATTAATGAAAGCCTTTCAGTGTTGGGGTTCTTGTTTCGAACTTTTTGAGGAACTTGTCGAACTTGCAAAAGCCTCTGCTGAACGCTTCACTGTGAATTTTCTTGAAGGTTCGTCTTCTTTCTCTTCTGCAGTTCCCTTTTCTCTTGCTGCTGCTTCAGCTGTGTGTTCTTGTTCCGTTATTATCTCACAGGGTCACCGTTGTATATGTGATCCATTGTTGACCAAAACATTATCATGTGGTGCACGACTGTGTTAACGTCTTGCGTTAGTGTGGCACATGGGTGACAGCTGATGTGCACCTTCACTTCGTATGTTCTGCGGTGCCTCTTTCTCTGTGCGCATCCTGTGTAGTGACAGATGAGGGAGCCTTAAGGAAATTGCTAAATTTTCCTGAAAATCTTCCTCTTCTAACTAGCAGAGGCTATGGCTTCTTATTTTTAAGAAAGGATATCTTGTATTTAGGATGTGACCAATAAAATTGTGCATGGTTAAATTTTGCAGCTATAACACAAATGAGCTTTTTATTTTTTTAACTAAGTTTTCAAAAATTCAAAAATAGGATAATATGAACCCCATATGCCCATCTCCCAGATTCAGCAGTTGCTAACATTTTGCCACACTTGCTTATCTCCCTCCTCTTTTTGGCTGTATGATTTTATTTTATTTTTATTTTTCATAGAGACGGAGTCTCGCTCTTGCTCAGGCTGGTCTTGAACTCCTGAGCTCAAACGATCCACCTGCCTCAGCCTCCCAGAGTGCTAGGATTACAGGCCTGAGCCATCACACCCGGCCTAGTTGGCTGTAAGATTTTAAAGTAAATCCCTGATTTCTTGTCATCTCAACCCTAAATTCTTCTGTGCGTACCTCTAAGAAAATAAGGACATTCTGAACATAACCACAATGCCATTATCATACCTCCCAGTAATTCCTTAATATCACTTAAAATCCAGGCCTTACTAAAATTTTCCCAATTGTCTCCAAATTATAAGCAAATGAGTTTTAAGTTTAAACTTTGAGAACAGTATGCTTTGTGTCCGTAACAGTACAAAAGAAGTGCTAGAATGACCCAGTCCTTACCTCCAGGGACTGACTTTTTCTGAGAGCCACCAACTCTCTTCCCTCGGGAAGGGCTAGGTGGTCGAGAAGTTCCCAACGGGAAAGGTCTGCCTTATTTCTCCCCAACTGTTCATCCTTTGGGTCAGTCAGCATCTGGGTCAACCTTTGCCGAGCGCCTGTGAGGGTCTAAGCACTGTGCCCGGTGGGGGATATAAGGGCAAATCACATCCCCTCATCCCTTAAGACCCAGGTAGTGATTCTCTTTGAGAAGAATAAGATGAAATCTGAAAACTGGTTCCTTTCTCCAGGAAAAATGCACATAGAATTTTAAGGGGTTTTATGGTCACCCCAAAATCTATCCATGGGCCCAGGTTAGGACCCCTATTCTAGTGGGACTTGTTGAGGAATAGGGAGAGGCTCCCGCGATCTTTGAGGGCCATTGGGTACACGAATGCACTGAGGACAGAAGAACCTGGGGCTCATGGCTGGGGGCTGGCAGGAGGTGAGCAAAGCTGTGTGTTCGAGATAGAGGACCTGGACCCTCCTGGGCACCCTACTTGCTCTGAGGTGCTGCCGAGTGAGGGAGCCCCGACTTTTGTGACAAGCTCAGTTTGAGGCTGAATCCCTGAATCCAGCACTTGTGAACAGGACCTTCTGTCCATGGCTGATATGTCCACTTACCTGTCCCCCAGGTCCACAGTGGGCCTTATCTTTGTCCTCCCCTAGTCTCCTACCTGCTGCTGCACCTGTGTCCCTTGGATCAGTGACTGATACTGGCATCTGTTGCCCTAGGTCCCCAAGCCAAAAAAAAAAGCATGGAGTCCCTGTGGCTCCTCCCTCCCTCTGCCCCTGCACCTGAATGCAATCCCAGTGTTCTCCTAGGTATGATCAGCCCCCAGCTCTCCGTTCGTGTTGCCTCTGCCCTAGTCAAAGCACCATCCTCTCTGTCTCGGGTTGCAGTTGGTCCCAACTGGTCTCCTGCTTGACTCCCTTTCAGTCTGCTCAATCCATTCTCTCTGCAGCCAAAATTTTTCTGCAGTGTAGGTCTGATGATGCTACTTTCCTAATTTCAAACTCCTTAAATTGGCTGAGGAGACCTGTGATGGCCCATCCTCCCCTCCCCGATGGATTAGGACCCTCTGGTGCAGGCTCATCTTGTAAGCCAGCACTCAGTGTAGACTGTCCTGAGGCTGCTGTTTAATTGTTTTCTCTCTGAAGTGTGTAGACAGGGACCTCATCTGTCCTGCTTGTCTAGGCTGATGCTGATCGGGCTCTCAAGAGAGTTTTGTGACATGAATGCATATATTTAACGCTTTCATTGCCTAGCTCAAAATTCTCTTTCAAGAATTTGCCTCTGTTTAATTCTGTCTATTTACTCAGAACTTAAATATTTAGAATTGATTTGCACTTGTGAAAATGCCACAGTTTTAGTAGGTCTGCTTTCTAGACTGGTTACTTGCTGTCACGCTAGCTAAGCAATGGACGGGCTGGAGCGCAGTTCCTTTGTATTTCTTGTAGCTCATCCCGGGCAGAGCCCTCTGCATGGAGTAGGCATGTGCAGTCAGCGTGGCCTCTCCTAGCTGGCAGCGAGAGAAGAAAAATAGCAAACAGGTTAGACTGGATTTTCCTGACCATTGAGGAACATCTTATATGTTAATAGGCAGTTTATAAATTAAGAAATGGAATGAATTCTTTAAAAAGACTGTTAAAATTTATGAATCCAAGAAATGCAGATTGAGATGAGATACCATTTTGTTAACCTTTCAATTAATAAAACATTTGATAATTAACTGTCCGATACATGTGATTACATATAATCAGAATTATAAGGATAAAGTACATTGCCAGTAGCCATGTAAGTTGACACACATTTTTGGAAAACAGTTTGTCAGTAAGTGTTGCATAATTACAGTATTTGTACTCTTTGACTTATTACTCCTACTTTTAAGAATCTAGCCTAAGGAGGCCGGAATGGACGTGGTGGCTCACGCCTGTAATCCTAGCACTCTGGGAGTCTGAGGCGGGAGGATCGCTTGAGGTCAGGAGTTTGAGACCAGCCTCAGCAAAAGCGAGACCCCATCTGTACTAAAAATAGAAATAAATTAGCCAAACAACTAAAAATAGAAAAAATTAGCTGGGCACAGTGGCGCATGCCTGTAGTCCCAGCTACTCGGGAGGCGGAGGCAGGAGGATTGCTTGATCCCAGGAGTTTGAGGTTGCTGTGAGCTAGGCTGATGCCACGGCATTGTAGCCTGGGCAACAGAGCCTGAGTCTGTCTCGAAAAAAAAAAAATCTGGCCCTAAGGAAATGTTCATAATATGCATAATATTGGGAAATCACTATTTATGAAGAGGTTCAAAATCTAGATATCCAAATTAGGGGAAACATAATGTATGTATATTATTCACTCAGAATATTATGTCGCCAGAAATGATGTTTAGGAGGTAGAGCTATGCATATTGATAGGGAAAGATAGCCAAGAGATCCCGACTAAAAGTCAGTTGGAAAAGAAAGTAAACATGATCCCGTGTGTGTGTGTGTGTGTGTGTGTGTGTGTGTGTGTGTGTGTGAGAGAGAGAGAGAGAGAGAGTGTGTGTGTGTATGTGTGTGTGTGTGTGTGTGTGTGATTAAGAGGTTAAAAATGTGGGTATTGTATATCCATGAAAGGTTTCTGGAAAATATTTTACTATCAGAGATAGAATAGGACTAGGTGGAAGATGGGGACAAGAAACTTTTAAAACATTTTTACATCATCCATAGTGATAGAGATGTTCTGTTTTTTTTTTTTAAACTTTGTGTTGTTCTAATTAAAACAAAATCTTGAAAGATGTAAAAATGTTTATGATATGTCAAGCAAAAAGAACGAGATATACAAAATTACATATATAAAGTATAGTTGTAGCTATAGGACAAATATAAGGATAAAAAGAGGAAAGAAAAATACTAGTTGGTTGAGTTAAGGGGTTAGGATTCAATATGGAGAAGATTAGCATGCCCCTGTGCAAGGATGACACACAGATTCTTGAAGCATTCCATATTTTTATGTTTGTGTTTAAATAATGAAAAAAATAATAAGGGTTGGGATTATATTTTCTTTGAATTTCTCTATTTTCCAATTTAAAAATTGCTTTATAATAATTGTGCAAAAATAATTTTAACGAAATGGTTATATACTTTATAAAACACGACAAGGAATAATTCTTCATTATAGATGGATTTGTCCTGTCAGAAGTCCCTTGCTTTTGTTTTTTTGTTCTTTCCAACATAGTTTTTCAAGGGCCCTGGGTGACCTGAGGATGAGGTTGAGTCTCTCTCTGTAAGGATTGTTTTTTTCCTCCTTTTTCTCCTTCTGCCTCTTGACTCATGCAGAGGTAATTCTCTCTTACCTTCTGTGCAGAGCTCGCCTACCTTTGGGTTCCTGTTGGATATCGATGGAGTGCTGGTTCGGGGCCACAGAGTGATCCCTGCCGCTCTGGAGGCATTCCGCAGGCTGGTGAACCCCCAGGGCCAGCTGCGGGTGCCCGTGGTTTTTGTCACGAATGCTGGGAACATCTTACAATATGGCAAAGCCCAGGAGCTGTCAGACTTACTGGGGTGCAAGGTAAGGAGGCAGCCAGAGGCGTGGGAGCCCAAGGACCTGGCTCCTAGTGGGCCTCCACCCCCAGCTCCAAGTCCCTTCCCCTAGGTTGGGGTACAGTATCACTAAGTCCTAGGTCATGGCAGTGAGAATCTTTCAACCCTGCAGGAAAAGTAACTTGAAGTTCAAGCTTAGCCTCATGAGTAGAGCGTCACCAATAGGGTCTTTCTTTACACACATACACACACACACGCGCGCACACACACACACACACACACACACAAAACACACACACACAGTTTAGCACAAAAATCCTTCCCATGTATTTGGAAGTTTTAGTGTGCATTCCTTATATCCATTTCTTTTCTTCTGGGCAACAGGATCGTTAGCCCCTGGAAAGCAAGGGTCGCATCTGTCTAAAATTCTGCGTACCAGGTGGGACTCTGAAGTTATTGCCCTTATTTTTCGTAAATAAGATGTATACATCTGAATGAGTGTGGGCCTCCAAAAGCAGTTCCTCTTCACCCACTTGCCGTTCCACACTGCTTCCCGACATTGACACATCGTTGTTTGTTAAGGGTGAATTTAGTTTTTGGAAAGAGTCCTTTGGAACCAAGAGAGTATATAACATGGCTGATTGATTGGATGCTGCTGCTTGAGGTCGAATGCAAAGGGTAAAGGAATAAAATTGGTTCCTTGCTGTGGTTTCCAGAAAGGGTTCCAAAAACATTCCGGGTAAAGGCTGTGTTATTGGAGTTAGTATAATGTTAAAAAGCTAAGTCTTGGGCCAGGTGCGGTGGCTCATGCCTGTAATCCCAGCATTTGGGGAGGCCAGGATGGGAAGATCACTCGAGGCTAGGAATTCAAGAACAGCCTGGGCAACAGCAAGACCCATCTGTACAAAAAATAAAAAAAATTAGCCAGGAATGGTGGCATGTGCCTGTAGTACCAGCTTCTAGGGAGACTGAGGCAGGAGGATCACTTAAGCCCAGGAGTTTGAGGCTGCAGTGAGCTATGATGACACTGTTGACGCTGTTGCCTAGACTGCACTCTGGTCTAGGCAACAGAGGGAGACCCTGTCTCAAAGAAAAAAGCTAAGTCTTTAAGTAGAACTGAAAACAAAAAGTCAAAGAGATTTCTGCAGCAGTAACAAAGAACATGCACACAAACCTTGTGGTCTCCCTGTGGGGGATTGAGACATCCAAAGGGCATTAGTAAATTGAGCTGGACGGGGTTGGAGAGGGGCAGGGCTCACATCTGATGACATCTCTGTTTTCTTGTTTTGTGTGGCAAGAACCAAATGAGACAGGTTTTTCTCACTCTTGTTTGGATAAGTTTTACAAGTGCTGGGTGCTAGAACGGGCTTTCTTTGCCCTCTTTTTCTGGGCATTTTCCCCCTTCCTTTCCCTCCCCTTCCTAGGTGGAAGAACCTGCCACCTGTCTCCCATTATTCTCCCTCACCGTTAATGTCTTCCTCTGCTCTCCTCTGTCTCTTGGTGTCCCTCTAGGTGGACCCAGACCAGGTTATCCTCTCTCACAGCCCCATGAAGCTCTTCTCGCAGTACCATGAGAAGCGGATGCTCGTGTCCGGGCAGGGACCCCTGGTGGAAAATGCCAGGACGTATCCTTTTGCTAAGGGGCGGAACTGGGGCCTTTCCTCCCTTGTCTGAGTGGGGACCTAGTGAGGATGTGGGGTGCCGGCAGTGCAGGGGCTGTGCAGTGGGCCCACAGGGCGGGGAGGACAGCTCCTGCGTGTGGTCAGTCCTTGCGCTTTCCAAAAGCCAGTCCCCATGCTCCTACATGACAATCTTCTGAGGCGATTAAGATGCAGATTCCTGGGTCTTAGTGCTGGAGAGTCTTGATTCACCAGGTCTAGGGTAAAACTCAGGAATCTGTATTTAAAAAAACCCTCTCTAGGTGGTTCTGTAGCTAGGTTTGAGGACCACTGCTCTAGCCCCCTTCCTTGGGTGCTCAGCTTATCAGCCGGTATTATATCATGAGGTGGCTGCGGGGAGCTCATCCCCTGGGTGTGTGCACACTCAGGAAGCAGGAGACCTGGTCCCTATTCTCAGGTGGCTTGTACTTTGTGCTGAGTGGTTCCTGGGTACCAGTGCTGTGCGGCAGGCTCTAAAGGGGGCAGGAGACCAGGAAAAGGGCATTGGGACTGTGAGTTAATCAAGGGCTTCACACTCGAGGAGGCAAGAATAGTGCCCATGAACCACAAAGGAGTATTTAAGGTGACATATGATCGAAGGTTCTTAAGAGTAGTGTAGGTTCTAAGTGTCACAGCTGTTGAGCGGAAGGGGATATCCCACGGGCAGGAATTGCCTGTGGCTTCGTGGAGGGTTATGGCCGTGCCCCGGAGATGATTAAGGTTTCCCGGGCAGGGGAAATGGGAGGTTGGAATGGGGTGGGGTAGGGAATGAGAGAGAACAGGGAGGTGGTGCCAGGGGGTGGAAAGCCTTGTAAGTAAACTCAGGGAGTACGGACTGACTTCTCAGGGCAGTGGAGAATCAGGGCTGGCTTTATTGCTGATGGGGTAATCTGATGGAATCATCATTTTGGGGAAATTTCATTTCGAGAGTAATCTGAAACTATGTCCAATCAAAATTGCAAGTTGGAATTGAAGACGGGAAAGTAGAGGCAAGTCTTAGAGGAGATAAGGCTGGAGCTGGCTTGTCCCTCCCCAAGGCCTCCCCTTCCTTGCTGAATTGGGTTCATCCTTCGGGATGTCAGCTCCAGTCCTGCTCCAGCTCCTGGGAGTCTCTTCTGGACTCCGCACTGAGTGGCAGCGCTGCTCACAGAGCACCGGTTCTGATGGGCTCCGAGCAAGCACAAGCTCCTTGGGGACAGAGCTGCTTCTGTGCCTCTGCACCCTGGGCAGTGCCCAGCATAGGACCTGGCACCAAATGTGCCCAGCGACTGCCGACGGACGGCACAGCCTGCCTGCCGGCACCTGTAGGGTTGTGTCGTCCTTGCTGGGCTCTGCTCAGGGTGGATCAGGACCGGGTCTGGTTCCCGTCACTCACGATCTGACGCATTCAGGAAGGCATCTTCCCTCACAACTGCCCAGCGTTGCTTCCCTGATCTTGCTCCAGACTGGGCTTCCAGAAGGTGGTGACTGTGGATGAGCTGCGCACGGCCTTCCCCGCGCTTGACATGGTGGATCTGGAGCGGCGGCCAAAGACCACGGTAACAGGGCGGCCGGGGTGGGCCGCGCCACCTCCCCTGCTGCACCCAGGGCTCTCAGCGTGTGGTCCATGCTGCAGCAGCGTTGCCTCCTTGGAGAGCACATCCGGCCAAGGATTTGTTCCCTGGATATACAGGAATGGCCTAGGGAAGTGGGAGGCTCCGGCGCTGTCCTGTCTGCGTTGTTTCTAATGAGCTGGGAACCCCTTTCAGAGCCCAGCGTGCCCTCCAGCTCAGAGTTTTGGACTTCACTGGGTGGCTTTTCCCGTGTTCCTCAGCAGGGTCACTAACCTCGGTTAAGTTAGTCACCGCTGCTCCTTTGCGCTGAGACATGGTGCAAAGTGTTGCCCTTGTGAGTAGTGCTTTGCTTGTAAAAGGAACACTGGCAACTCTGCATGTCTGCCCATGTGCCGTGTTTCGCTCGTATTCCAGCCACTGGCTAGACTTCTTAACACCTGGCCTCAAGCCGTCCTCCCTCCTCAGCCTCCCAAGGTGCTGGAATTACAGGCGTGTGCCACTGCACCTGGCCCAGCCATTGGCTTGACTTCTTATCTCTTCAGGGGCTTTCGTGGATCCTCTAGCAGCCGTCCCCAGCCTTTTTGGCACGAGGGACTGTTTCCATGGAAGACGATTTTTCCACAGACCAGGGAGTGGGGAGATGGTTTCAGGATGATTCAAGTACATTACATTTATTGTGCACTTTATTTCTATTATTATTACATTGTAATATATATGAAATAATTATACAACTCGCCACAGGTTGGGGACCCCTGCAAAGTATGAGTGCCAGTCCCTCGAGGTGCCCCCTGGCCCACTTCTTCCTCATGTGAACGTTAACTCAGACCACTATCAGAATTTGATGAAATGTGGTCATAAACGGACAACTCACTTTTACTCATTGGCATAGCTTGAGGCCTTCCTCCTCCAGAGTTTCCGAGTGAATACGGCACTTTCTCTCCCTTGAGAGCTTTCTCCCTGCACCAGGCAAGTTCTGTGGAGAACCAGAATGTGAGAGTTGGACCAGATCTCAGAATAGCTCAGAGACTGAGCCCCACACAGGGAAGTGACTCAGCCCCAGGTCCCATAGCTGGTTGGAGGCGGAGCCAAGACTGCGGTGCCTGGGGCGGGGATGGAGCCCAGAGGCTGGTCAGGTGACTCTGCACTGACAGGGAGAGAAATGGCCTGTCACACCCAGTGCCGCCTCCGTAGCACCTTCATCTTTGGCTGATTCTCCAGCCTCTTGTTTGGGCCGTGTCTCACGTCCCGTCCTCACTGGACAGACAGCCGCCTGCCCTTCCTCCTGGATGCCCTTCGCGTGTGGCACCCTTAGCCTGTTCTGTGGCCCACGTGGCTGTTGTCTTTCCACCTTCCTCTCTCAGTCTTCTTCCTCAGTCCTCTCCAGCGTTCCCTGGGCTTGGGCTCCGCCGTGGGGACGGTCTCTGGTGTGTGGAACGTGGAGGCCGGGAGCGGAAGGTGACTGCGCCACTGACGGCCTCTTCTTTGTCTCTCGGCAGCCCCTCCCGAAGAGCGACTTCCCAGCCATCGAAGGTAAAAGCGGTCCTCCTGCAGCGCGGGGTGGGATCTTTTTCTCCCTCCCTTCTCAGGCCCTCAGGCTGTGTCAGCGTGACTGCCTGCCTGCAGCCTGGCCGAGCGGCAAGGGTGGCACTGGGCACCAACCCGGCTCCGGTCTGGGTCTGCCACTCACCGCCTCTGAGACTTTGTCGTTAGTTTTTATTTCTCCATGTCACTCACCTTATTATTCCAGAAAAACTGTAAACGTGGAGACTCTTAGGGTGGAAAGGAACCTAGCGATAATCTAGTCCAGTGTTTCTGAACTCTTTCAAACCTGATTCTCCCCTCGCATAACAAGAATATTGCGATATACCCTTTACTATCCTGAAATGACATTCGTAGGTAATGTAACTTTCCTATGCACATATATTAAAAATTAACTAGTTCAGTATAAAGCCCTAATTATAATAGGGGGAAATAAAAGGAAAAATTTTTAGTAAGAAGATAATAATGTAATTTCAATATGTGGTAATTACCAAGAAGTAAAATGATCGCCCTGAGCATAGAATCTTCACGAATGATACATCAGATACAAATGCAGACTGATATAAGTGTATTTACAGGTGTGATACAGTTATGTTTTATGGGTGACTCAGAAATTAGGGGAGTTGCGGGCACAGTGGCACACGCCTGTAGCTCCAGCTTTTTAGGAGGCTGAGGCGGGAGGATTGCTTGAGCCCTGGAGTTTGAGACAAAAGTTTTGAAAAAACAAAATACAGTCTTCTCTTGATTTATATGATAGTTGTATTTTTGGAAAAATCAGTGCTTATTAAAACTATACACAAAATACGTTGTGATTGTATGTAAAATGGAGTTGGCTCAAGTAATTCTAAGCAGGTTGTTTACCTGCATGAATATCAGGTGGGACATTCACACATTAGGATGTGGGACAGTTTTTGATTGTGCAGGGCTGTCTTGAGGATCTAGCATCCCCAGCCCCCTCTCACAACCCTCACCTGCTGAGTGTCAGTCATTGTGATAACTGAAATATCCTCCAGTTTCTAAAATACCTCCCTCGGGGGTGGTGTCTCCCTGAGAACCACTGGTCTGCTCCAGTTCACTAGTCTAGTAGTGAATATCCGCAGCTCTCGGTTGTTAAGTGCTTGCTGTGTGTGCGCAGCACTGGGCTAAGTAAGTGCTTATTTATTGTATCTCATTTGTATCCTCACAACAGCACTGTAAGTAGGTGTTGCTATTATGTAACTGAGGAAATTGAGGCTTAGAGAAGGTAAGTAACTTGCCCACAATCGTGCAGGAAAACTGGCAGGGTCAGGGTCGAGTTCAGGTCTCTAACACTCCACATCCCCCTCTCCTGGCCATTGGGTTCTGCTGGTCCCTGGGCTCGGAGAGAAGTGACTGGCGGAACAGGTGCCCCTTGGCTGAACTCACGTGGGGCAAGACGCAGTGGGCAGAGCCTCGGCCAGCAGAGTAAAGCAGGCCTGAGACTTGCTGCTTTTGTTTTTTAACCTCTTCTGTGAAATCCCAGTGGCCTCAAGTTAAAATGGAAGCTTTTAGGAAGCTCTTTCCTGGGCCCTGTTCACCCAGGGTGGATGGGTGAGTGGCTCGCCAGGCTTGTCAGGGAACCATGCCCTGGCCCAGATGAGCACACCGTGGGTGGGGAGCGCCAGCTGGCCTGGGGGCCTTCTGCCCACCCGCCGCCAAAGGCAGCTGCAACCCTCCCCCTGTGCCTTTGCTCTTCAAAGGGGTGCTCCTCCTTGGGGAGCCAGTCCGCTGGGAGACAAGCCTGCAGCTGATCATGGATGTCCTCCTCAGCAATGGGAAGCCTGGGACTGGCCTGGCAACAGCCCCCTATCCCCACCTCCCTGTCCTGGCCAGCAACGTGGATCTCCTTTGGATGGCTGAAGCCAAGATGCCCAGGTGAGGACACAGAGTCCCTGGCCTTGGTCCCGGTGGCCCACTTCCAGCTGCTGCCTGGGCAGTCCTGCGGGCAGTTTCCCACTCATCATTCTGACACCCTGGGTGGTTGGAACCCTAGCTGGGTAAGCCCTATAGTTGCCATAGTAACTCTGCTTTCTAGGAAGGATTTCAGGGGTCACTTCACATATCAGTTATTAAACTGGAACTACAGATAACTGAGCACTGAGAACGTATTGAGATGATTTTTTTTTTTTTTTTGAGACAGAGTCTCACTCTGTTGCCCCGGCTAGAGTGCCGTGGCGTCAGCCTAGCTCACAGCAACCTCAAACTCCTGGGCTCAAACGATCCTCCTGCCTCAGCCTCCTGAGTAGCTGGGACTACAGGCATGCGCCACCATGCCCGGCTAATTTTTTCTATATATTTTTAGTTGTCTGGTTAATTTCTTTCTATTTTTAGTAGAGACGGGGTCTCGCTCTTTCTCTGGCTGGTTTCGAACTCCTGAGCTCAAACAATCCGCCTGCCTCGGCCTCCCAGAGAGCTAGGATTACAGGCGTGAGCCACCGCGCCCGGCCCTTGAGATGATTTTTAACACGTGACTGCAACCCTCTATAATCTCTGCAGAACATGCTGTTGTCTAGTTGAACCCAAACAATGGACAGTTTTTGAGTTGTATCAGTGTAGACTATTCAACTGCTCTTCCTTCCTTGCCTCCACCCTGCAGCATTGGTTCTTTCACTTCTTTGTTTCCTTTGACCTTTAAGACATGGGGCCAGGGGACAGCGAGCATTATTCTGAAGGTTATGCAGACCAGAGACGACCCAGTGGATAAGCGACTTTCTCAAGGGCACAGCATGGGTACTGAGCAAGCCACACGCCCTGCTCAGCTGTATTGGCGTCATCTGTCCTGCCCTGGGGCCGAGTACAGGTGTAGGTGGCCCTCGAAGTGCCTTACCAGAAGGCCAGCAGACGGCTGCTGTGTGCTCTTTGACTGCCCTTATCTGCCAGGCCAAAGTCCTCTCGCCCTGCCTCTGCCTGGCAGTGAGCTGTGTGCATGCTCCACCAGCAGAGGGTGGGCAGGGCCCAGCGCTGCCTCCATTCACGTGACTCGGGGTCCTAGAGAGACAGGGGTTTTGGTGTTCTCTCCAGTCACTTTTAAATGGTATTTCTGTCGCTTGAGGTTTGGGATGGTCTCTAAAGTATTATTCCTAGAGTTAGGGTATATTGACAATAGGTGAGGGGGGTTGGTTATGTAGCTGTGAACTGAATAACAAGGGGCAAATTTCAGTTTATAAACCAGATTTGAGATTAGTTTTTCATTCAATGATTTAAAAATAGAAAATAGAATTCTTTATTGAAATAAATGACACTGAAATATAAACTAACATGTAGCACAATATCAGTTAAGATTTGGTTTAGCAACAAGGGATGAAAACCCAAAACAAAAGTGTCTTATTGCTTTCTCATGTAGAAGTCTAGGTAGGAAGTCCAGGGCTTGTGTGGGCTCCACCTTGTCAGGGATGCTGGCGCCTCTGTCGTCCTGCTGTGCAGTCCTTAGCTCTTTACTACCAAATCTAAGATGGCTGCCCAAATGCCAGCCATCACATCAGCATTCCAGGTGGCAGGAAAGAGTAGGGCAGGGCAGAGAATACCCCTTCCCAATTTTAAGGATACTTATGAAAAGTTTAGCCCAGCACTTCTGCTTTCATTGACCTGTGGCTTACCTAGCTGCAAGGGAGGGGAGGGAATGTACTTCTCATACCCCGTGGCAACATGTTTAGCTGAAAACTGACACCGACATAGGGAGAATAGCAACCAATAGTCTGCCACAAATCTATAAAGCAGAATTTACGCGTAGTTTCTGGAGTCACACTGCTGGGTTGTAACCCTAGCTCTGCTACTTTGGGCAGTTATTTAATCTCATTACGCCTCAGTTTCCTCATTTGTAAAATGAGGGTAACAGTATCCATCTCACGAGGTTTTTCTGAGAGTTAAATGTGATATGCTGTTTCCAGTGCCAGAACAGTGCTCAATAAATGTCAGTTACTGGAAGTAACTTAACTGTGGTCCCCACCACCAGGGCCCCGGGTGAAGGCTGCTCTCCATGGGCACTGCTTGGAGAACGGCAGCACTGTTCTCTGGAAGAGCCTGGGGATCAGGAAGACCGAGTGGCTGAGCTCTCTTCTCTGGCAGGTTTGGCCACGGCACCTTTCTGCTGTGCCTGGAAACCATTTACCGGAAAGTGACGGGCAAGGAACTGCGATACGAGGGCCTGATGGGCAAGCCCAGCGTCCTCACTTACCAGTACGCGGCGGCCCTGATCAGGCAGCAGGCGGAGCGGCGGGGCTGGCCCGGCCCCATCCAGAAGCTCTACGCTGTGGGGTGAGCTCTGCTCCATCCCCTTCACCCCTTCACAACCGCCCCTTCCTTCTCCCTGTCCACGCTCACCCCCTGGTTTCCCTGTATCTAACTCACACTCCTACCCCCAGATTGTCCTCCGCTCCTTGCAACACTGAATTTGGATTTTCTCCTCTTCCCTTTTCCATGTGGCTGCCCTGCCAGCGATAACCCCATGTCTGACGTCTACGGTGCCAACCTGTTCCACCAGCACCTGCAGAAGGCCTGGCGTGATGGGGCCCAGGAGCTGGGGCCTGGGGGCCCACGGAAACAGCAGCCCTCCGCAGCCCAGAGCTGTGCCTCCATCCTGGTATGCACTGGCGTGTACCGTCCCAGGGACCCAGAGCTTGCCCAGGGAGGAGAGGAGTCTCCCTTCCACGGGCACCGGGACTTCAGCTTCAGCCCAGGGCTCCTGGAGGCATGCCACGTTGTGAATGACGTGGACGAGGCTGTGCAGCTGGTTTTCCGCAAGGAGGGCTGGGCTCTGTAGTGAGGGGTGGGGTTGGAGGTGGGGGGGCGGGGCTGGAGCTGCAGGTGAACCAGTCGGGGCCGGCCTAGCCCCCTTGCCACTCTCCCTGCTGCCCCACAGGTGTGATATTACTGGTCACCTGGAAGAAGGCAGTGGTTTTTATCCCTGCTAGGCAGTAGCCACAGAAGTGTCCCCTGGACAGTGTTTCACGTGGAACTCGCAAGATTTTCTGGGCCTGATTCCTGTGTGTCTCTCCCAGCAGTCTAACCTCAGGCCAGTCCCTTTACCTTGTGCCTCAGTTTCCTTCTCATTGCAGTAGGGAACATGTGAGAAGAGGGGGGCATTAGAGATAATGTGGGAATTTCCGCAGAGGCTTTGCCCCTCTCGAGGGAGCCGCCACTGCACGTCAGCAGGGTGTGTGCTAGCACTCAGATGCCACTTTTTACTGTATTTTAGTTGGGTGCTCAGACACTGTGGGGCTTATTTTTTTAAATTAAAATGATCACAGTTAACACTCACGATGCTGTCTCTTGTGAAGCTCTGTCTGGAATGTATCGAAAGTCTGGTGGGGAGAGGGTAGTGGGTGAGAGGTGTGGGTGGCCAGGGGGCAAAGAGATGGGCGGCACTCGCTCCCCGAGGTGCCGGCGTCTCCTGTCCTGCCTCTGCTCTTCCTCCCACCCCACAGCCACACCCGGTCTGGGCTGCGAAGGCCGAGTCTGTCTAGGAGCCAGTGGTGCCCAGCTTTGGCGTATACTTAGCAACTTCCCTGGGATGGAAAAGAAAAAGGATCTTGTTAGTGGTTTGTTCTAAAGGAAGGGGCTTTTCCTGCAGTGATTCTAGAAAGTATGTGTTTCTTCTACATCCGTCCTCCAGGACAATCCAATTCCGTTTCTTCATTTGTCCGTGTCCCCCACAACCTGGGCATTTACAGATCCCTGGGGCCGCAAATTGTCCTTATTTTACTCCGAGGTTGTTTGCATTTGACACCAGCTGATCACTCCTTCCTCATTCGTAAAGCGCTCTTGGCTCCGACTTCTCTCCCCTCTGTTGGGATGCCTCGTGGGCGTTTAAAAGTAAGGAAGCCAGGGATTGAGAGCCAGAGGCCAGTGAAACAGGAAGACAGAGGGCTGGCATCCTGGACGCTGGCCAGGGGAGGGAGTGAGGACAGTGCTCCCTTACGCAGCACCCACAGAACCCTGTCCAGAGCCAGGCGGCCCTGCCCCTCTGGCGCCGCCTGCAGTCTTCCCTGTCTTAGGCAACAGCACTGCCTAGTCCACTGTCTAGTCCAAGCCTTGGGGTCCTGCTGGGCTTCTCTCTCATGAGCTGGCATGTCCCTCAGGGATTTGGGACGGTGGGAAGACCAGGCCTGGAGATGGAGTCCTAGCCCTGCTCTCACTAGCTCTGTGGCCTCATGCAGCTGACTTCACTTCTCCAAGCTTGCATTCTGTCATCTGTAAAACTGGCGTTGACGATACCTGTTTCATAGACTTATGTGGGAAATAAATGAGCTGTTTTAAGTGTGGTGTTGTATCATTTCAGATTCTGTTCCGCTGCTTCTCATAGAAATCTGCCTACAGCGGCTCGAGCAAATAGGAGGCTACTTTTCTAAGCAGTAGGAAGCTCAGAGGTAGGCATTTCAGGCTGGGGAATGCACTTGGGGATGTCCTCGAGGACTCCCGGGCTTGCCCCGCCATCCTGTGTGTTGTGTTCAGTTACCAGGTGGCACAGCTGGACTTTTGAGCCCCTCACCCACGCTCCCAGGAGGGAGGAGGCAAGAGTGGAGGCAAAGCAAGTGCAGCTTGACTCCCGTAAGAGCTTCCCCAGAAGTCCTCCCGTGGCCTCCAGTCCTGTGACGACAGCGCTGTCACCCCTGGCTACGAGGAGGCAGGGGTTGGCACACTGTGGCTCAAGCAGAGTTCGGGTTGTGTTTGTGAGGAAGGGCAGCGGAGTGGATGTTGGGTAGGCACCCTCGTGCTGACTGCAGTGCCTGGGGCCCAGGGCTTGTGCAAATGCCCTGAGGGGATGGGCCAAGGCCTGGCCTTCCGAAGCACCTTGGCCGGTCCTCATCTGAGCTGCTGGGTGGGATAATAGTCTTGCTAGCTTATGTTTGCATAGTCGTCATTATTTTCCAAGGCATTTTAAAATAGGCATCATTTGTTCATAAGTTGTTAGAGCCTCACAAAGCCCCGGGTGGAGAGAAACAGTTCTTATCGATGTCATTGTTATCCATTAAAGCACAAAAGGGAGAGACCATTCTTCCATTTCAAAGCCCAATGCTGCGTGCCATAGCAGTGACCAGTCATTGGCAGCAATACCTGCCCTGTGAACGTCTCCTTTTAGTGATGATATATCTGAAGTCACCATAAAGGGACGGGCTGGGCCTAGAGGCTGTCTCCTAACTCTGAGTCCAAGTTCTCCCGAAGCACTGCACCAGAGATCCTCCCACCCCCAGCCAGCCCCCTGCCTGTGCTCCAAGCATCGCTGCATGTCCTGGAACAGCTGCTGCTGTGGATACAGCCCAGGTGAGCTCTGCGTGGGCCAAGCAGGTCAACCTCACTGAATGAAATGGCAGCTGAGTGCAGAGGGAGCCGGGAAAGGAAGCCCGGCGTGGCCACGTGGGGAGCATCCCTCCCAGGGTCAAGACTGCTCACTCCACACTGACACGGCAGCATGGCAGCATCTCCGTGTGTGCCTGCCTCTGGCCCTGTCCCTTTGGCGGCTGTCCTTTGGGCTCTCTGGCCATTGCTCCCCTTTCTTACTTGTTTGGGGTTCCTACAGATCTCACAAGCTATTCCAGGCCAGGTGCAGAAGAGCGGGTGTAGTGCCGCACAATGCATGCAAATCTGTATAAGACGGGGCCAGCCCCTCGCTCTGATTCCAATTTTGTTCCTTAGTGGCTTTGTCTAAACCCTGGAAGCAAAACTAACAACTGGTGTCTTCGTTTGTTCAATCCCAAACTGAATGAAAATGTTACCATTTTGTGTTTTGATGGAGCCAAGTGAATAAGAAACAAATAAGACTTTGCAAGTCCATTTGGATAGGACATAAGCCCGTATTTTTAATGAAATTACTAACCTGGGACATTGAACAGATACAGTCACCCTGGGTCTCCAGTAATGACCTTGGAGTCAGAACACAGGGTGCTTCCTCCGTGTTCCCCTTGGCGCCGGCAGCTTCCGAGCTCCTGAGGACGCCTCCTCTCGGCCGCCGAGGCAGGTGCAGTGAGTGTGTTGGTAATCGTGACACCCTGCAGAGCTGGAGTTGCCGTAGCAACAGGATGCTGCCTTGAGGGTGGAATTTTAAAATATCTCAGTTATAATAGTTGTTTTTTTTTTTTTAACATCATTCTGTCACTTCCCCAGTGCTTAGTCGTGCTGCTGAGGTAGGCCATGCAGGGACGCCTGTTTCTCTGCCTGGGGCTCTTGGCAGCTTCTTCCCTGGAGGTTGGAGTGGGAAGATTGTCTCAGGGTGAGAACTGCTGGGCAGCTACATCCTCAGCTTTTGCTTCCAGGGTCCTCCAGCTCGTGGTTCCAAAGAGAGAGAGAACGGGTCTAGCTGGAAACTCTTTCCCTGCCTCCTCCCACTCTGGCTGGAGCCTTCTGGTTTTATATCCCCAGCAGAGAAGGCTTAGCATTCCTGGGACTTTCTCTTCGGAGAGTGGAGGGTGTGCTCCTTCTTCCCTCCTTGTCTACTTCTTCCGTTGGTCTTTCTGACTTCCTCTTTTGGCTTCATTTATTCACTCAATGAACGACTGTTGTGCACCTACTAAGCCTAGGATTAAAAAATGAGAAACTGCCGTGTCTTGGAGGAGTTCTTCACTGGTTTGGCCCTGCAGTTGCCCTGTCAGCTACCGAACATTTTTATAAAGTTACAGCAGTTGAGGCAGTGCCCTACTGGCAGAGGGAGAGACACAATCCAATGGACAAAGCAGAGCACCGAGGAACAGACCCACACATATACGAAAATGTGGCTTAACAAAATAAATATTTCTTGTTCATTTCATAGCCTGCTGTGGGTCAGGTGGCTGTTCTTGGCCTTTTGCCTTCAAGTGGTAACTCAGGCAGGGATCCAGCAGCCTTCATTTGGTGCTGCTGCTGTCTTCCACACATGGCCTCCAAAGTCTCTGTGGGAGACAGAAGGAGTGGGGGACGGGGGCGTTACGGCCAAACCAGGCGGTGGTATACATCCATTGTGTCCATGTTCATTGGCTAGGCACGCTGTTCCAGTGCAGCCACCAAGGGGATGGGACATGGGGTTTTCCTCTGTGCCCAGGAAGAGGAAATGGGATTGGGCAGCGTCTAGTCTGTCTCTGTTACCATATTACTGTTTATTGGGGTAAAGAAATTCTGTTCTGCTAAGTTTTTGCTTAAATTCATGAATAGATACTGGATTTTGTTTTTCTGTATGTATTGAGTTGATCATTAAGTGTTTTTCTCCTTTAAGCTGTTAATATGATAAACTCCATTAATACACTTTGTTTTCATCTTTAACTCTTCTTGCATTCCTGGGATAAAGCCAAATTGGTTATGTTGCATGCTGCTGGCTGCTACTAGCTGGTATTTTGTGTAGGGGCTCTTTGTGTTCCTAAGTGAGACTGGTCTATGTCTTAGTCCATTCAGGCTGTTATAACAGAATACCATAGACAGGTGTCTTATGAAGACAGAAATTTATTTTTCCGAGCCACTGGCAGATTTGGTGTCTGGCGAGGGTCATCTTCCGGGTCCCTGGTCTACCTGAACTGGAGGCCCCCTCCCCCCTTTGATCTGGGTCCTTGCACTTGGGCCTGGGGATGAGAGTAGCAGCTCTGACAGTCTCTGAATTGCCTCAGGATCTTTCTTCCGTTGTCTCCTAGAAGAGTTCCAGGCTTCTGGGGAGAATGGCTGATCCCTACTTATCTCCTTATCAAAGGGGCTTGGGCACACCCTTGTGTTCTCCCCCAAACAGCTTTCTAATTCTTTTCTGATAATTTTCCAGATCTTTAAGGTCTCGCCCTGTTTGCCTACCAGTTCCATCTTGAAGTCATTCCTCCCTTCTTGAATTTTACCAGAAGCAGTCTAGGTGCCAGGCCACTCCTTTCACACTTTTATTTAGAAATTTCCTCAGCCAAATGCCCAATTTCATTGCTCACAAATCCTACCTTCCATAACACGCTAGAACACAAACATAATTCAGCTGAGTTCTGAATTGGGTTCATAGATGGCCATCTTCTTGCCATGTCCTCACATGGAGGAAGGGACAAAGGCTCTCTCTGGAGTCTTTTTCATAAGGGCACAAATCATATTCGTGAGGGCCCCTCCCTCTGATCTAATATCACTTCCCAAAGGCCCCACCTCCAAATACCGTTACACTGGGGATTAGGTTTCAACATACGAATTTTAGGGGGACATTGTTACGGCAAGTGTCACAGCGGGTGGTTCCAAGGACAAACCGAGCGGCACACGGAGAGTTGGAGAGTCAGTTTATTCGCTGGCGGGCTCAGAGGGGC